TGTCAAGCTTCTTGAGTATTGTTGGGGCTGCACTCATCCAGGCAAGTGGGGTGTATTCCATCACATTCCTGATTTGTGCCTTGTAGATGTCGGACAGGCTTTGAGGAGTCAGGAGGTGAGGTAGCCATCACAGTATTCCTAGCTTCTGGCCTGCTCTTGCAGCCACTCTGTTTACGTGGTGAGTCCAGTTGAGTTTCTGATCAATGATAACACCCAGGATGTTGATAGTGGGGGATTCAGTGATGGAAACACCATTGAATGTCAAGGGACAGTGGTTAGATTGTCTCTTATTGGTGATGGTCATAACCTGGCACTTCTGTTGCACAAATGTCACTTGCCACTTGTCAGCCCAAGCCTGGATATTGTCCAGATCTCGTTGTATGTGAACATGGACTGCTTTAGTATCTGGGGAGTCATGAATGGTGCTGAACATTGTGCAATCAGTGAACATCCCCACTTCTGGCCTTATGATAGAGAGAAGGTCATTGATGAAGCAGCTAAAGATGGTTGGGCCTAGGATACTACACTGAGAAACTCCTGCAGAGCTGTCGTGGAGCTGCGATGATTGACCTCCAACAACCACGATGATTTTCCCATGTGTCAGGTATGACTCTAACCACCGGAGAGTTTGCCCCCTGATACCCACTGATTCCAGTTTTGCTCGGCCTGAAGAATGAAGCTGCAGAGGGAGGCTAGGAAATGAGGCCAGGGTCCTGCCAGTGAGACCAAGGGCCTCAGGGATGAGACTAAAGTTCCAGGAAGTGACACTGGGAAGCGAGGTTGGAAATAATGGGAACCAGATGAAGTAAGAATGAGGCTTTGAAGTCAGGTCAGGGAGTACAGCTGATGGCCTGGTAAGTGAGGGGGAGTTAGATTTAAAAAGTGAAGAGAAAGGAGCTGTGGGGGCATTGAGGGGTGAGGACCAAGAAGAAGTGTGAAGAGGGACTGACGGAGTGCGAAGTGAGAAGAGGATTTGCAAAGGATAATGAAGAGTTGTAAAAAGGGACTTTGATGACTGTGGGCCCACAAAAGGAGAAGACTGAATGTGGATGATGCAAAGGGTGTGAAAGGAAAGAGTGAGGATGCAATGGAGTGAAAACAGCTGAAAACTTTTCAATTAAGAAAAACCCACCCAACTGAGGACAAGAAACGTGAGGTAATGTACTCTTTGAAAATTAATGTAAGGCTTTTAGATTAAAGTTACATAAGCTACTCTATGGGGGAAAAGTGCAGCGGATGCCATTGTAATGATGTGGAGGTGCCGGTGTTGGACTGGAGTGGACAAGGTCAAAAATCACACGACACCAGGTTATAGTCCAACAGGTTTATTTGAAAACACAAGCTTTTGGAGCGTAGCCCCTTCATCAGGTGAAGTGAGAAAGAAGCACACAGAACACAGAATTCATAAGTAAAAGATGAAAGGGTCACACAACTGATGCGGATGTATTAAACAAACTTAAGATGCTATTAAATTTTTAATCTGTTAGAAGATTTTAATTGATTAATGCCTATGTAAATCTTCAATTTCTTTCAAGTCATTGCCCTGAGAGAACTAAAGGTTTGAATAGTGTAAAGAAGAGGTGACATTTTAAATCAAACAATGCATATTAGGTGTGAGGCCTTGTTTGTGAATCTGGTTGTGTTTTGGTTTGGAGTCAGACTGGATTTATTTCTAAAGTAGGAATATATAAAACGCCACATCGATTGAATGTATAAATTGTGTGATTTTTGAACAAAATAGAATGTATCTGCAAATACAGATTCACCCCATGTGTGTGTGGGTGTGTGTGCGCGTGAGGGAGAGGGCGAGAGAGTGCATGCATGTGTGTGTGCGCATGAGGGAGAGACAGAGAAAGTGTGTGTGTGCGTGTATGAGTGTGTGTGTGTGTGGGAGAAGGAGAGCATGTGCATGTGTTCGTGCGATGGAAAGAGAGTGTGTGTGCGTGTGTTTGTGTGAGGGAGAGAGTGTGTATGCATGTGCATGTGTGAGGGAGACAGTGTGTATGCGTGTGTGCGTGCGTACGCGTGTATGTGTGTTTGTGTGAGAGAAACGGAAAAGGGGGAAGAGGGGGTGAGAGTGTGTGTGCGCGTGCCAGAAACATGCACATGCACTCTCTTTCTCCATCACACAAACAGACGCACACTCTCTCTCGCACATGCACACACACTCTTTCCCTCTCACCCTCTCTCTACTTCTCCTCCGTCTCTCTCAAACCCACACACACACACTCACTCTGCTTCACCCACACACACGCTGCTTCACACACACTCTGTGTGTGTGCGTGTGTGTGAGTGAAGCAGAGAGTGTGTGTGTGTGTGTGAGTGTGAAGCAGAGTGTGTGTGTGTGTCAGTGAAGCAGAGGGTGTGTGTGTGTGAAGCAGAGGGTGTGTGTGAGAGTGGGAGAGAAATGGAGGAGAAGGAGAGAGAGGGTGAGAGGGAAACAGTGTGTGTGCATGTGCGAGAGAGAGTGCACGCGTATTTGTGAGAGAGAGAGAGAGTGCATGTGCATGTGTGTGGGACACATACACGCGCACACACACACACAAACACACACACTCTGCTTCAAAAACACACACACACACTCACACTCACACACACACACCTTCGCGCGCGCACACACACAGCTTCGCGCGCACACACACACAGCTTCGCGCGCGCGCGCACACACACACAGCTTCGCGCGCACACACACACACAGCTTCGCACAAACACACACACACACAGCTTTGTGCGCACACACACAGCTTTGCGCACACACACACAGCTTCGCGCGCACACACACAGACAGCTTCACACACACACAAACACACACAGCTTCGCGCACACACACAGCTTCACGCACACACACACATACACACAGCTTCGCGCACACACACACACA